CATCCAGTTCATTTATATATTTGGATTTTTTGACGAACGACCTCTAGCAATATTTCCACTTTTCAGTGAAGAACTGAAATTTCTGCATTCCCAAAAATTTCCCTTTTTCACTGTGCGTTTTTGCTGTGCAGTGCTATAGCGAAGGGGAATCCCGCAATGATAGTCCGATCGGCGTTAGTTATAATCAGAAATTTTCAGTTTAAAATTTGAATTAATTGCGGTTAGAAATTTGAATTCTTTTTGTAGGCTAATGCATTAATTCTTATTTCAAACTTGTCGATGATTGTTGGAGTACAGTTATTTTTGTTTTTGCTTAAATTTTTTCCTGCACTTTTAGATTTACGGAATTACTCAAGGACCACGAACGTAGTCGTAATCGACAACTCATGACTTACAATCCTCGCGTGGTGAATGTCAATTTTGGCGAATATTTGTGCCCGCTTTGCAAACGCCTCAGCAATGCAGTTTTGCCTGTCCTTCCTGCATTCGGACCAGATATCCTGGAAAGGTTATTTGCCAGTTACTTTTGTTTATAGTGCTGTTATTTTATCTAAGAGTTGTCACTCTGTGTACAGTGTGGGCTGGGTGAGCTCTTCTGTGCCAGTAAAATTAAGACTTAGGCATCGCTCCCACTGGTACTTTTCCATCACTTTCGTCAAGCGGTGATTTTCCATCACTTTTACTTTTCCATCGTATTTCTTCTGGAAGTGTAGCTCTTTCCCTTCTTCTTTTGTTCCTTCTTTCTCCGTTCCTCTTTATGGCATTTTTTATTATATTTGTGCCTTTTTTTGCGACCGGCTTATCGCTTTTTCCAGAACTGAAAAGCAGTACGTTGAGTTTGATGATTGGATAAACAGAGTGAGCGAAATGTTCTGCTTCACATCTACCAAAACTGCTCGAGGCCATACCAGGAAAAGGTTTCATACTATTTTTGCTTTGTTTTCTTCTTTTTGCTTTTTTACACAGCCTTATCCCGGAAAGGTACCCTCTTGAATCCTCTGTTCTTGGATCGGTGGATTCTGTGCCAGCACTTCGTTAAATTTTGTTTTTGGTGTTACTGGGAAATTTTTTTATTTGTTATCGGATATTTTTGGTTGGCGATTTAGATTTGCGATTTTTTCCAACAGAAAGTTTCAGCTGAATCGAGGGAAAAACAAAAGGGTAGGGAAAATATGACAGAAAGGGTAATGACGCGAAAACAGGGAGAAGTTTTTATAGCTTTTAGCTGGCAACGTTTTCGTTGCGGATTTCCATTCCTCATCATTTCAAACAATATTTCGCACCTTTTGGCCTGTTTTATCTAATTTTTTCATCTTTCCTGGATTTTGGCTTTTCGAAAGAATTGGGCTTA